ACTTAAATCAACAAATCGTTTATTAATCACTGGTACACCCTTACAAAATAATCTTCATGAATTATGGGCATTATTAAATTTTCTTCTACCTGATGTATTTGATTCAGCTGATGATTTTAATGCATGGTTTGATACACAAAAATGTTTAGCTGATGATAAAGATCTTGTTACACGTTTACATGGAATATTAAAACCATTTTTATTACGACGTTTAAAAAGTGATGTCGAAAAAAAACTTCCACCAAAAGTTGAAACAAAACTTTATGTTGGATTAGCACCATTACAACGACAATGGTATACAAAAATTCTAATGAAAGATATTGATATATTAAATAGTGTAAGTGGAAAACTTGATAAAATACGTTTATTAAATATTCTTATGCAACTTCGAAAATGTGCTAATCATCCATGTAAGATAAATATTATTTTTATATAAAATTTTCTAATTATTTTTTGTTTTTGAAGATATATTTGATGGGGCAGAACCAGGTCCACCATATACAACCGATAAGCATTTAATTGATAATTGTGGAAAAATGCTTATCTTAGATAAACTTTTAACTAAACTTAAAACACAAGGTTCACGTGTATTAATATTTAGTCAAATGACACGTATGTTAGATATATTAGAAGATTATTGTATATGGAAAAATTTTGAATATTGTCGATTGGATGGACAAACATCACACGAAGATCGACAAGCATCTATTGATGCATATAATAGTCCAGATAGCACGAAATTTGTATTTATGCTTTCAACACGTGCCGGTGGTTTAGGTATTAATTTAGCAACAGCTGATGTCGTTGTTTTATATGATAGTGATTGGAATCCACAAGTAGATTTACAAGCTACAGATCGAGCACATCGTATTGGCCAATTGAAAACGGTAAATAATGTTGAAAGAAAATTAATATGAAGTTTTCAAATTAAATTTTTTAGGTTCGTGTATTTCGTTTAATAACTGAACATACTGTTGAAGAACGTATTGTTGAACGAGCTGAAATGAAATTACGTCTTGATCATGTTGTTATTCAACAAGGTCGTTTACAGGAAGCGGCAACGAAATTAGATAAAGATGAAATGTTATCTATGATTCGTCATGGTGCAACTCATGTATTTTCATCGAAACAAGATGAAAATGAATTGGATGTTGATATTGATTTTATATTAGCACAAGGTGAACGAAAAACTAAAGAATTAAGAGAAAAATTTGAAACTTTGGGTGAAGGACAATTAAGAAAATTTACTATTGATAATGAAAATCTATCTGGTCCAAATGCCAGTGGATCCGGTGATGGAACTGATATTGGTGGTAGTTCAATTTATAAATTTGAAGGTGAAGATTACCGAGAAAAACAATCATCAACTCTCGGTATTAAATGGATTGAGGTAAATAAAAATCAAAGATTTTGTTTTTCTATATATAATATTCTTTAATACCTATAGCCACCTAAACGAGAACGTAAAGCAAATTATGCAGTTGATGCCTATTTTCGTGAAGCATTACGAATGAGTGAACCACGTGCACCGAAAGCTCCTCGACCACCACGTCAACCAAATGTTCAAGATTTTCAATTTTTTCCTCCACGTCTTTTTGAATTACTTGATCGAGAAATTTATGCATATAGAAAATCAATTGGTTACAAAGCTGTACGTGATCCTGATTTAGATGAACAAGAAGGTAAACGACAGCAACAAGAAGAACAAAAAAAAATTGATGAATCGGAATCATTAAATGAAGATGAACAATATGAAAAAGAACAATTACTTCAACAAGGTTTTTGTAATTGGACAAAACGAGATTTTAATCAATTTATTAAAGCAAATGAAAAATATGGTCGAGATGATTTAGATGCTATTTGTCGAGATGTTGAAGGAAAAACACCTGATGAAGTTATGTCTTATGCAAGAGTTTTTTGGGATCGATGTCATGAATTAACTGATGTTGAACGTATTATGGCACAAATTGAACGTGGTGAAACAAAAATACATCGAAGAATTAGTATTAAAAAAGCACTTGATGCAAAAGTAAGATAATCATTTAATTTAAGTATATTATATTGATTCGTGAATGCTATCAGATTCAGGCGTAGCTTCATAGTGATTAGCTAAAAACAAATTGTACCTATAATATGTCTACTATTTTTAATTTAGATGGCACGTTACAAAGCACCATTTCATCAATTACGTATTCAATATAATACTAATAAAGGCAAGAATTATACTGAAGAAGAAGATCGTTTTCTACTCTGTATGTTACATAAACTTGGATTTGATAAAGAAAATGTTTATGAAGAACTTCGTTATGCTATACGTCAATCACCACAATTTCGCTTTGATTGGTTTCTTAAATCACGTACATCAATTGTTAGTATTTTATTGAAATAATTTGATTTTTTTGTCTATTTTTAAATTGATTTTGTTTTAGGAATTACAACGACGTTTAAATACATTGATTACTTTTGTTGAACGAGAAAATCAAGAACTTGAAGAACGTGAACGAGCTGAAAAGAAAAAAGGTCGTACATCATCTAAAAATACAAATGCATTAAATGCATCACAAAATTCTCAATCAACACCTGTTGCAAAGGTTTGTCATATTTTTATATAATAAATTTTTTAGTTTTTATTCATCATTATTTAGATTAATGGTAATCAAAAACGTAAACCTGATGCATTTACAACTGCATCAAATAGTTCACCTGCTAAACGAAAGAAGAAATGATCTTATATTATTTGTCATATCTTGGCTTATTTCAGATTTCTTTCGTTTATTATTTTTTTGTAACAAAATAAAAAACAAATTTAAATAGAAATAAAATTAATTTTTCTGTATGTTGTTATGTGTCTAGCTATTATTGCTGTTGTTGTTCGTTTTTTCTCTCATGTTCATTTCTATAATCGACAAAATGTCGATTGAAAATTTTTTTTGATGGTTTACTAATAAAAAAAAAAGTCATGAATTCTTTACCTATATTCAAGACAATTCGATTCTTATAATTAATGAACTTTAAATTAATTTTTTATTTATGATATAAGATGAAGGAGTAGTTATTTTTGAAGATCTAAATTGATATATAGTAGATAAAAAGAAAAACGTAGAGTATTTAATATTGAGAGTATATTTGCATGCTAGAATAATTTTTTATAATGATTGTAGTTTCACACGAAGTTATGTTTTCATATATTATCTTAGAAGAAAAAAAGAAGCATATTTAATAGACTCTTTAACTTCATACAATATATGAATAACAAAATTTCTTCTAGCATATTTTATCTCTACGTTGAGAATCAATGATTATATCATATTTATCTTGTAAATTATTAAGCATCTCAGAAGATATTCAGCAAAAAATTTTTATTCGAAACATGTAACAAGTCATATTTAATAATTATATTCTATTAACTATCTATTATCTTTTTCAAACATCAATGACTTGAAAACAAAATCAAATAATATTCAATGCATTGCATATCATTTAACCAAAGTATTTAACATTCTATCAAGTTAAATGATAAGACGTTTATAACATATTCATATTACTATATAGAGTCAAATCTACATATTTGTTCTCTTCATTTAACATTTTTACATAAAAATAAAAATTCGGTTAATGATTCTTCTTTTCTTTTTCATTAAATAAATTGTAACATTTTTTTTTCTTCTTTTTTTCTTCTTCTCTATTCTAAATATAAGCATGATAATAAATATTAAATTAAAAAAAATGTTCGTGACTATTCTAATGTTAAAATTTTATTAAATATTCTCAAGAGAGAAAAGAAAAACCTGACAAACTCAATAAGGAAAGCTTTTATTTTATTAATTATTATAACAATATATTAAGTATTTATTTCAAAATAGACTTGCAACTAACGAAATAATAACATTCTTTATGTTATTATTGTTGATGATTGCCTAGGGATGATCAATGTTTATATGAATTATGTCGGCAGGAGAATAGAATATTTCTTTTATTTTAATGATAATATGTATTTATTTGATCATGATTTAAACGAAGTAATTTGCTTTTTAATAATTATAATGTAAAGTTAGATTGGTTGATTAATCATGTAAGACAAATAGAAAGAAAGAGAGAAAGAAAGAAATATGATGTGTAATTTTGTCTACTAAATTGATGTTCTCTCCCGGCCAAATGTAAGTAACAACATATACATACATACGACCATCAGAAGCAATCTACTATAACATTGTCGACAATACTTTTCCGTCATGCGTATACAAACTGAGATTTGATTGCAACAATCTTTTTCTATGAGTAGAAGCAAAAAAATGGATACATGAAGCTCTCTCTCTATGTCTGTCTGTCAGTTATTGCATGATAATAATAATAATAATGATGATGATGATAATGATGATTTTTTGCCTTGCCTTGCTATGTCTTAAGCAAGCCCTACTATTATCATTTACATTCATTTCATATCATATCATACTCATCATCGTTCGTCGTCGAGCTAACAATAACGCTACTGTATAATCGACATTAACAACTAGACGTCAACGTTAATCTTCCACTTCTTTTCTCTTCTCTTCTCTTCTTCCTATCGTATTTTTCTTTATTTCTTTCGTTTACATGCTCTAATAGTAAAAGAATAAGAGAGATATTCAGCAAATCAGATGGCTCGTTTTGTTTGTGAATTGGACGAATCCGAATGCAGAATACGCAGAGAAAGAAAAGAGAAGATTAATTTTGTTTTTGATATAAACTGTTTCATGATATTAGTAGCATGTGTCTATTCCGTTCTTGCTTAATTCGGATTCGTTGAGAACAGGGAATAAAACGAGTAAAGAGAGAGAGAGAGAGGGAGGGAGGAAAAAACACATAAAAAGAGAGAGAGAGAGCAATCCACTTTTTTGGTCATGCGCGCAAGAGAGCGCGTCCGTTTGTTCTTCTAGCTACAGATTTTTTTTTGATTAATTTTGTATAGATTATTATTACATGAAGCACATAGTAGCATAAAAAAAAAAAAGAATAAAACAATGGAAATTTTACGTGCTGAAACCAATGAATTTCCTCATATGAAAGTATGTATATATATATAAATATCAATCTTTCCTATTTTATATTAAAAACTAAATTTAAATTTCTTTAATAGACTACAGATGGACCAACAAATAATTCATCATCATCATCAACAATTGATGATGATGAAGATGATTTTTCAAATGTAAGTACAACTGATGAAAAAAGAATAACAAACACAAAATCTCCTATCAATAATAATGAAGACAAATCCAAATCTGCAGATGAAAATCGATCAAATAATTCCTCACCTCAACCATCTATTGTTCAGTCAATTGTTAATCGAACAACATCAACAACTGATTATACACGTCAACGTGAACGTCTTGCTAAAGAACTTAAAGATTATGAAGATCGTTGGTTAGCACATAGAAATTTTCTTCTTTATACACAAGCATTTAGTATGAAACCCGAAGATCGTGAACGTTTATTTTCACAAATAAATTCAACAAATACAGATGAATCATTTTCTCGTTTATCAAAAGAAGAACGAGATCGATTTTTAGCAGCCGCTTTATATAATCAACAGCAACAACAACAACAGCAGCAGCAACAGCAACAACAGAATCCATATAATTTTCATCAATATCCATGGACAACACCACCAACAGCATCATCTATAGTTGTTCCACCGATACCATCAACAACTACTGACCAACAACAACAACAACAACAACAACCACAGCAACCTAAATCACCTAGTTCAGATGATAGTGGCAATCAATCAAATTCTGGTAGTACAACAGAATGGTAACTAATTGTTTTTGATTTTTTCATTTATTTATTTATATAAACTTTCATTGTTTTTCTTAGGACATTTGAAGAACAATTTCGTCAGGTAAATTAATTTTGATGAACGAGGAATCAATTAAGTTTAGTCTAACCGTTTCTATCTCTATCAAGATCTATCATTTTCTTTTGCTTCTGTTTGCACATCATTTGGATAGTGTGTCTCGCTCACTCTTTGTAGACAGAATGAGTGTTGATAGCTTTGAGGCAATAATTAATTGAAATGTTTGGTATATGTATATATATATATAGGGTGCCATAAGAGATGTAACAAAGGCTCATTCATCTATTTTCTCTTTAATAAAAGCACTTATCTATTATTGAAGACACGCGGGTTAAGAGAGAAATCAAAACCACATCTATCTTCTCTTTATTTTCTATAATAGTTTCATAGGCGCAAGGTAGATCAAGGCAAATACACGCACACAGAAAATTAATCTAAAAAAAGAAAGAAAGAGAGAGAGAGAAAGAATGGAAGAACGTTGACCATCTGTATGAATACACACATACATACATTCATTGCTTATTATTTATTGACAAGGTAATTAGAGGCAAAAAAAAGATTGATTATTTAAAATTCTTTGTCAGAAAAGAAGAAGAAGAGAAAAAAAAGTTTATATATTGCTTAGATAGTCTGGCATATCAACATACACACATCATTCAGTTGATTAGATCGGAAAATAATTATCGAGCTGAAGGTTAGAAAAGATGCTAGGCGTCTGTTTTTATTCTCATTTTTTTCTATTTCTGCATATATAGATATATATATATATATATATATATACATATATATATATAGGCGTTGTATGTCGTTGAGAAGTAAATTACAATCAGATATTGTGATCGATGTGGCTCGACTGACATTTCTGCTCGTATCTTTCTCATCAGGTTTATATAATAATAAGAAGTTTCTATCCATCAAAAAACGTTTATGATCGCGCAGCTGTTGTTTAGCTTGTAACTATTCCTTTAGACTAATTTTCTACCGATTAAGGCCGGTCAGTTTTTGTCTGATGATCAATTTATCGTTTACATTAAAGGCAGAACATATCCATGTCAGTCATATATACATATCAACTAATTGCTTTCGAAGAAAAGAAAAAGAAAAGACACATTAGCTTTGCTCATTTATATAAATATGTGCATCTTTAGATTATTGATGAGCTTATGTGTGTGTTTGGATCAACAATTAGTCTCACTGGGAGTTGTTGTATTGCGCTACTGTTGATGATTTTTTCCCTAAAGAAAATGCCTGATCATCAAATAGAATGTCGCACACGTATGTGGAGAGAAGCACAGCTCGAGGCTATATCGATTATTTGCTACTAATTGTATTGTTTCGAGGCAGATGGTTGACGAAGAAAAAAAATGAGCATCTTAAAGAAAAAAAGATTTCTTTTTATGGACTATTCGATTTCAATTAAATAACAAAGAAATTCCAGCTGCTGTCAAGTGAAAATCAGCTTAAAGATTATTTCTTATCCTATATGTAAGACACGTTTTACGAAAGAAGAATATTAAACGATGAACTTCGTTCTCTTATCAGGTCAAATCGAGCAGAAAGTCGGTCGAGCACTTGTATGTCTATAAAAAGAATAAAAGCTTCATCGATCACAATTACAAGTTCGAACAGAGAGAGAGAGCGAGAGAAGATAGTCTTTATAGAGACAAATAAACAAATCATCGTTGTGTATATACGCTCGATTAAACTGATTTCGGATAGAGAAATATGATTATTAATAAAATTTCCTGTCTTGTTCGACGTTAATCAAATAAGAAAAAAGAAAACTTTCTGTCTCTTTTTTTAGCTTTATGAATTATCTGATGAACCAAAACGAAAAGAATTTCTCGATGATTTATTTGCATTCATGCAAAAACGTGGTAAGTTTAATCTCATTGGAAGAATAGTTTTATCCAATAATAATTGAAAGATATCAATATCATTATTTATATAAAAGAAGGAATGTTCCTTCTTCTTCTTTTTTTTTCTTCTTCAAATGATTATCGATATATCATAATAAAACAAAACATTTGACTGTTAAGCGGAAATATCGGTTGAAGTTCAAAGAAGATTGAAATCAAATCTGAATATATCTTCTTTGACAGGTGATTGAATGAAAGTATTTGTTTGTTAGATTTGATGAATTATATACTTGAAAACTATAAGATAAAACAAAAAGAAAGAAAGAATGAAATATTTCTCTTTTAAAGGTACTCCTGTTAATCGAATTCCTATTATGGCTAAACATGTTCTTGATTTATGTAAGTGAAGACAGAATTATTTTAATAAGAAAGATAAATACAATTGAATTTTGTTTTATCTTCTTTAATAGATGAATTATTTCGTTTGGTTGTTGGAAAAGGCGGTCTCGTAGAAGTAATTAACAAGAAATTGTGGCGTGAAGTGACGAAAGGTCTCAATTTACCAAGCTCGATTACCAGTGCTGCATTTACATTACGTACACAGTATGTATATATGACTTTACATTAATATACTTCTATATATATACATATATAAATAAACTTTCAGAGATTTTGTTTTTTAAAAAATTCTATTCCTGTTTGATAAATTACTTAAACGAATTGATTGTTTTATATTCATTAGATCATGTATATTCTTACTATCGATGTGTTAATTATATAAAGTAACCATAGTTGAGTTGTATGTCTCACAAGACATGTTCGACGTCATATTTACCCATCCTCTTTACATACATTAGTATTTTTTACTTAATAATTAGATAAAGTGTTGACATGTATCATGTGTTATACTAATAAATCTTAATAGATAAATCTCTAGATGAAAAAATTCTCATAGAAAAAAAAAAAAAAGATTTGAGTAAATATTCTTGGCATATGTTGTCTTTCATATGTCAATGTCTTGAACATAAATGATAAGAGATCAATTTGTTCTGGCATATTTTTATGGAAAAGAAACTTGCACCATCATTAATCCTCAACTTAGCGTGTCAATGTCGTTTGTTTGCTATTAAAATAGCAAGGAAGAAGAAGAAAAAAAAGAAAGACTAATGATAATAGACAGAAGTATATATTATTGTTACTTTTCTATTAAGATATATGAAATATTTATATCCATATGAATGTGAAAAATTACAATTAAGTTCACCGGGTGAATTACAAGCAGCAATTGGTAAATAAATATGAAGATATTTATATGTATACATATTCTTCTTTTTTTTTCGATGTAGAAGGAAATCGACGCGAAGGACGTCGACCATCATATGCATTTGAATATTCATCACCACCACAAATAATGCCACCGCCACCACCACCACCACCTCCATCATCAGCAAGTGCTTTTCTTGCTAGTCCACTTGCACATAGACCATGTAAAATATTTGTTTTTATTCATAATTATTTATTTATATGTATATATATATATAGTGGATCCTAATCATGGACATGAAGCAATGCAACATGCAGCTATGGCTGCTGCTGCAGCACTATCTCATCCATTTTTTCTTGCAGCTGCAGCAGCTCAATCACGTGATGTCAATCATTCATCAATTGAACAATCTTCAACACCACGAATTCCTTCATTTGATGATCATCATCATCATCATCATTTACAATCATCATCATCCTCATCATCATCACCACCAACAAATAAATTATTTGAACGTTCATCAACAATAACGAAACGAAGTCTCTCACCATCATCATTTTTATCTCGACAAACAAATGATGATAATATTAATTCACAAATAAAAAAACCTGTTACAACAATAAATAATCTACGATCAACATATTTTACACCAGTGACAACCAATACTCCCCCATCATCATCATTATTATCACCCGTTAGTAAATTAAGAATCATTGCTAAAGGTAATCAAAAAAGATTTCGATTTTATTTAGAAAAAATTTATTTTTTTTTGGTTTTTTTAGAAAATAATTCAGAACAACCACAACAACAATCGATAACAATTTCGATTGAATTAAATGGTATTGCTTATCAAGGAACATTATATGCATCAGCATTCACTAATAATAAAGAGTGAATATATATATGCATGCTTTTCAATTCGACATATTTTCTTTAACTTTTTCTTTTGTGTTCGATTTTGTTTCGTTTCACTTTTTTTTCTTCTTCTTCTTCTTCTTCTTTCTTTGTATTGACCATTAATTAATGCAAAACTTTTTCGTTTTTTTTTCTCTCTTATTTGTGCATAAAAAAATTAACAGAGTATTTCGAATAGCGAACTAATCATTTGCTAAAATGAGAACATTTTCATTGATTATGAATTTAATGGGTTAAATAATGCAATATTTATATTCTATTCAAGCTAAGAAAATTGTAATTATTCAAATAATATTCTCGATAATCGTATTATCTGAATGTAGAAGTATAATGACGTCTCAACATATATATGAAAATCGTCATTTATCATTGCTTTTATATAGATTTCTTACAAATGATAAGATAAATGGCTTTTGTATCCATATTCGATACGCTATAAGAATATTTCTTTTATTTATATCTCAAATGTTTTTACAGAAAAATAAGTAGCTAGAATAGAATGTATATAAAAGATTATTTTAATGTATATCAATAGTAGTTATTGGCGGTATTTGTCTTTCAATAGTTTTCTGTCTTCTTATTTGTTGAGCTGCATGTAATTGTTCGACATTAATAATTCCATGTACAACATTATCTAAACCACGAATTTGTTCGATTCGATCAATTCGTATACCGATTGTAAAATGCATTAATAATAAAATAATTGCTGTACATACAGCTGAATAAATAACAGTAATTATTATTCCAATTATTTGATAACATAATTGAATAGGATTACCATAGAATGCGCCATTGTTAATAGTATTATTAACATCAGTTTGAGAAAATAATCCAACTAGAATACTTCCAATAAAACCACCTAAACCATGACAACTGAATACATCGAGAGTATCATCGATATGAAAAAAATGTTTTTTAAGAATTAAAAATAAATGAACTAAAAAACCACCAATAAGACCCATTAGAATTGCATAACCTGGTTGAATATAACCAGCAGCTGGTGTTATAACAACAAGTCCAACAACAATTGCTGAACAAATACCAGGAATAGATACGACAACAGAATTTTTATTTCTTAATTTTCCATGTATAATATCTAAAATAATCCATATAATCATACTTGCTGCTGCAGCTGTATTTGTATTTACAATAGCTAAAGCCGTAAAACCTTTTCAATAACAAAAAATTATCATTTCTGAGTTTAAATCAAATTTTCTCAAAACATACCATTCGCAGCAAGTACTGATCCTCCATTAAATCCCATCCATCCAATCCAAATTAGACCAGTTCCAATCAAAGTAAATGGTAAATGAGTTTGTCCTGCATTTACTACATCTGGATCAAATTGAGCACGAGAACCTAAGATCAAAGCAGCAACTAATCCTGATACTCCACTTGATAAATGAACAACTAAACCACCAGCAAAATCAATTACACCCATTTGATGAAGCCAACCTTGATTAGAAAATATCCATCGTGCTAATGGATCATAACAAAATGTTGTCCAAAGAAAAATATAAATCATATATGGAATTAATTTCATTCGACCTACAACTGCACCACTAATTAAAGCCGGTGTTATTAATGCAAATGAAGACTGAAATGCAATAAATGCTAATGATGGAACTGTATTTGGATTTGCATCATTTAAATTTTCACCATATAATGAAACAAGACCTGCTTTATATTGTAAAGCATATTGAAATGAACCAAATGCGGAATTTCCTGGTCCAAACGCAAATGAATAACCAAATAAACACCATTGAACAGGAATAATTGCCATACAAACAAATGATAAAAATAATTGATTAAGAAAATTCTTTTGTTCAACTAAACCACCATAGAAACAAGCTAAAGCTGGTGTCATCAAGTAAACTAATGCAGTTGATATTAATACCTAAATAAAATTTTATATTTTTCACAATTTATAGTCTGATATAACTTACCCATGCAGTATTTCCTTCACTATATGTTGTGTTACTCATTTTATTTTCTAATGAACTAATTACTAACATTTTTATAGCTCGATCTTTTTTCTTTTATATCCTTTTAGACTATATCAAGTAATCCGGAAAATAAAAACCTGGAAAAGAAATGAGCTCATCAGATTGCCTCTTATATTTCTATTATTAATAAACTTCGAGTAAAATTTTTTTCCGATTTTTTATTTTCCGGATTACTTGACATCACCTTATATCCTATATCTACTTAAGATAGGCTTATATTTATAATTAAAATCCGTATTTAGAACATTGTATAGATGATACTATAAATCTGATAAAATCTTATTTTTCTATTAATACTTATAAATAAATTTTTCATTATTTTGAAAAAGCTATTAGTGCCGGTTCACTTGTAGCAAAAATACTTCAATATTTCTTTTTAGTTAATAATAAAAAGTATTGTTATATGATATGTGTATTACGATGATGAGATAGCAACAGCTGACATACAAGTAATAGATTAAATGCTTTATATTTATATCAAAAAAAATATGTCTCATAAAGACAAAAAATTATGATTCGATTCGCAGTTTTTAGTATTATTTTTTTAATTTCATTTACGATTTCTTTACCAACTTGTGATATATCCTTCTGGGTAAATCTAGAGAATTTTACTTGTACTGGATCACCTAATGGAAAATTTCCTAAAGTAACATATAATGGACAATGTATGCTATCACCCGATGATCCAATAAAAACTTCATATAGAGTTATAATCGATGCTGAAAGAAAAATAGTACACAATTTTACGTGTTATATCGGTGAAACATGTGATGGCAATGGAATAATAACTACAAAAGTTCCATTATCATTAGATACTTGTGGACCTTTAATAGTCACGTCTACTCCATCAACTGTTGTTCAAATAGGTGGTTTAATGTTTGGTTGTGAAGATTAATTTAATTTGTTTCTCTAATAGAATAAATAATATGAATAGTCCTTAGAAGTTTATTAAATAATAATAAATAAAAGATTTGTTCGTCTATATATTTTAATAATTGATTATTTTATAATATTTGCATTCTCTGTATTCATTCATCTTTGATATGATTGTGAATAATAAATCTATGTTGAAATGTATTTGTCTTTTTCTTTTTACTTGTTCATCCGAGTAATACTTCATATCAATAATCCGCTTATGTTCACCATGAATAATTATTACCGTTCAACTGTATCCTCAGTTTAATATACATAAGTCTCAGAAAATATTTTATACAATTTTTGTTGATTTGTTTTCTTATTTTATGTAATAAATCAATGCAATTGTCTATATCGAACTTAAACTACTTTTTTTAATGTGTCATACTATTTACTTTTCTAACCATCATTGATGAGAAATTTAAGCAGCTGATGAATCTTCTATAAACTATGTAGTCTATTTAAAGACGATAGTAAAATGAATTGGAATAAAAATGAATCTAATTGGGTATATAATTCTTAGTTTATATATTACATTAACAGTTACATTACCAACTTGTAATTTATCTCTTTGGATTAATTCAAAAGATTTTACATGTTCGGGATCACCAAATTCTACATATACTGCTTTGACTTATAATGGTAATTGCACTATGTTTCCTAATGATCCAGATTGGACAACATATAAATTATTAGTCGATGTTGAAACGAAAACAGTTCAGAATTTTATGGCTTATAATTTTAAAAATTGTTATCAAGGAAATGAATTATTTTTTACTAAAACACCTGTGGCATTAGATGTTTGTGCTCCATTATCTATTGTAATTGATCCAGGTAGTAATATGACAATGGGTAGTTTAATGTTTAATTGTAAAGATTAATAAATAGTTTTCGCTTTTTTAATCTATATATAAAATAATATTATTTTGAATCATCAGGTAAACTAATATTAATTGTACTAATACAACATTACTATCTTAGTATAAAAGTACTATTTTATTCGATATAATTGAAAATATTCATCGATAATTTCACAATGAAGAGATGTATATGTTATAATCCCGATTGCTAGATCTTTCAATATGGCAAGAAAAATTCTTTTTTTTTCACCTTTTCCAACTAGTGTGGATGTGAGTGTGGGTGCGATCTCAAACTGATATGCACACCCACACCCTATAAATCATCCAGTTCTCACAAATCATTCAGTTCTCGTAAATCATCTAGTTCTCATAAATCATATACAAATCAACAAAAATAAGAGATTGATCTTCTATATCGTTTATACAATATTTATTGATCTTCAGTTAAGTACACCAAATTCTCATAGGCATAATATTTCATAGAACTTTCAATATCCCAAGATAATGCTTTCTTTTAACTAAACTTTTTGTAGTTAGATCAGAACAAATATCATTTCCATTCATTCTAGTTTTAAACTCATTAAAAAGATCTGTTTCGAACAACTGCTTATTCATAGAAACTAGTTGTAGATACGACATTTGTTAAGAAAATCTTTTCTTTTTAAAATCTATTAATCACTTCGGAAATACGAACTTTTTATTTTAATTATTTTTAGTGATAATTAATACACTTCACACATATCTCTGAAGTAACTATAACATTTAATGAAACGAATATAATAAATCTCAGTTCAAATAGTCATAAAGCGGCAGTATTCTCATTGACGATAATTCGTTTAGTATAAACAATTATTTCGAATCTAACTATTTAATGATAAGATTTTACTCTCTAATATATGCAGTTTCTGCATTAGATTCAATCAGGGAATAAATATTAGGAATTTAAACACAAAAAATTGTTAATTTTTTTAAAATAAATCTTGCACAGTAAAACATTTTATCCTAACAGATTTTCTTTTAGAATACATTTTATTTCCTTTGAAAAGCGCTGATTTCGATATCTGATTAAGTAATTAACATTCAACTTAAAAATTTTTTTATCCATAGGCAATAACAACTCACATCTGATGATATTTTACACTAGACAGATTATTTAATAGGACATGACTTTCTAGTATTTTCATATTCTCAATGATAATAAATCTAACACCCACACTCACACCCTCCCAATAAGAATCCTGTTCAATAGAAATTTCTAAATGAGACGATTGTTTTTTAAAGATTTTAATTTGTGAAAGTATTGAAATTTGGATTCTACCTCAACGATATGAAGAGCAACGAAGACAATGTTTACAATGTAATCTATTCAGATCAAGAAAAATATTGCATTATAATCTTCTTTTCTTGTTTATTTCAGGGTGTGTATCCAGTTTATGTTGATCCAATACGACCATCGACATTGTACGTAAAACTATTTGTTTTTTCTTTCATTATGTCTTTGTATTTTTTTACGTCACTTCCAGAAAGAGAGATATCCTCTACATCATTCGGGCTCTAGGAAAAGTTTTGATTCATACTTATGTTATATTAGATACGACTACTTTTTCATTTTTAATCATTGAGTACAGTGTCTATATGTATTAACTTATAGTAGTTTAAGAATTGAAATTTTTTAAAATCTGATAAAAGCTAAGTAATATATAAGATGTTAACTAGTACATCATGAATATCTTTAGTTTTTACTTCAAAACATTTCTTTATTTAATATTTAGAACCATGAATTTTGAATCAATTGAACAACCAATATCTACCAATAATAATATTTCAATCTTTTTTAATGATAGACAATCAAATGTAAGTATCGATTAATATCTCGAATGAATTACAGATCAGTTTCTTTTGCTTTATTTTAAATGTCAAAAATTTAGATTTTCTATAATCGTAGGTTCAGAAATATCTCATTTTCGAAAATAATTCTTTTCAAAAATGATCTATTATAGAATCCATTCTCACCAAATATTGAATCAGGATTTAGTCCAACAACGAATTATCCTCTAGATTTTCATTCAATAAATGAATTAATCGATTGGCATAAGAAAATTATACGCAAAGGAATGATGTACTTCTATATCGTATTTGGAATATTGTTCTTAATTGGTTTAGTATTATTAATCATAGGCATTTTTCGCTCAACATGTAGTACTTATTCTTATGATTGCTCATCAGCATCTTTAGTATATCTCGTTTTTGGTGGAATTCTAATGGGTACTGGCATTATGTATTTGTTGATCGGTCTCTGTTTTGATTTTTGTTATATAGAACAACAATTTGAAGATGTAAATTTTAGCGTTAATGGACAACAGCCAGTTGTATGGCGACTGTATGGCAAACAATGGATACGATATTTGAATTATATGTATAGTCCAAGTCCAATGTGGAGAGAAGCAGATTCATTATCATGTTTCTGTTGTCGACGTTCAACCTATGAACGATTGAAGAATCGTCAATATGGTCAGATTATTTTACATGAAAATGGTTTAATAATTGACGAATTATATTTTGTTTCGTTTCGAGATCATACATTACAACGTGTAGAAATACTCTATATCGATCAACAGCGGCAAATAATAGGTTTAAGAATACGTACTTATCTCCAAACAGGAAACAATAGTCGCAACTGCTATTTTGATTTATTGGCACCATCATCAATTTCATTGGAACAAATACAAGCACTCGCTCGAGCATACAGTATTAAAAAATCTGGAGTTAGTGCACTCGATTTACGTTTGGAAGAAACTCATCTTCCTGGATCAATATTATCTACACACAGCTAATATATAACCTATTATTTATTCGATTGATTGTGTTTGCAAATTTCTCTTATGTATAAGCTTTTTTTTTCATGTTGTAATAAAAACAAAAATTATGAAGAATGATAGTTTTGAGTTAGATAGAATATATATAATTATAGCATCGAGTTTTTGGTATTTATGCGACTGATCAAGCTGACAAATGTTCATATAAATAACAAAGTAACACGAGTAAAAAAGCAAAACATATAATAGAGCCATTCATAGGCAGCGGAACAATTTCACTTTAGGGTGGGTTCAACTTTGCAAACGAATCACTTCGAATAGCGGATTAGACGAAGATATTTTTAACCGTTAATCGTTTGAACTAAGAGTATAATATAGGAATACTATTTGAAAATGGCCAAAAAGCATAGATCAAGAAGAAATAAAACTATTCATGTCCAATAAAGGTATCTCCACTTTGATTTTTTTGAGATAAAACCAAAATAGATGCATTTTAAATCAAGTAAAACTAATTTTTCTTTATGCCTTTGTTTAGCCGTTATTGTATGTACAAACAAATATCTTGAGGATGTGAGTGTAAAAAGAGATAACCACCCACATTCTCTTATGAATTATCGATCGTACTAAAAAAATAATAAACAATACTTAGTTAATATTCGCTACTGATGTGAAAAGTAGTTAATATCGTCAACCAGCTTTTGTATCAGCAGAACATGACTCATCTTCAATTATCCGTCAATAAATATGAATTATATCTATATCGATTGAAAATATTTATTTACAAAAATATATTATTGCACATAAAAACATTTATTGTCTTTTAAATTAACATATTTACAAGTTTTCGTGGAGTAACAGGTTTTGATAATGGTGTAAGAGTTTCATATGGACATGAATGATGAAAATCCTAATTTCAAAAAAAGTAGAAAATTCTAGAAGATAATGAATTACTTAACTAACCTGCCAAAAGAGATTTTTACATAATTGACATTGATGAATCATTTCTGCATAAACTTCTCGAAGATTATATCGTTTTTTTAATTTAAAATAAACATTTTTCCAATCAATATTATCCATATCAATATCTTTCTGTTGTCGTTTTATTAAATCAAGAAATTTTTCTTCTATTAAAGAATTATCATTATTATTATTCTGTGTTTCATCTCCAAAATGATAAATACATAATTGTTTCCATATTAATAATTCTTGTGTTACTCGATATAAATTTGAATTAATCATTCCAATATTAATTATATCTGTACCATTATCTAATTTTCGAATAATTTCACGTTGCATTTCAATCGGAAGACAATTCAATGTTAATTTACTATTATCTTCAGTTTGTTTAATTATATTTAATTGAATTTGTTTTATTGTTTCTTTCATTCGTGTTAACATATCAATATGTTGACGCCATAAAGCAGCTGAACCAATATAATAATAAAATGGATATGCGGAATGAATTGAATTATGAAATTGTGTAACTAATCGTTGCATTAATGATATATTATCTCCAGTTTTAAGAACTATAATACATAGAACAAGTATTTAATATCAAATAAAGGTAGATATTTATACCGATGTCAATCATTCGATCGATAATTTGAAACAATGAACGTTGTGCATTACCACTTAGTTCACTTAATTTTTCTTTAAATAAAATTTCTACAACCTTCAAATATATACATATTTATATGATAGAATAGAATCTAAGAAGTAAATCGTTACTTACTTTTGCAATATAATTAAAACGTCGAATATTACTAACTGAATTAGCAATACCAAGTGCATTGAATATATCGGATAGACTTGAATTAAAATTTGTTAACTAAATTAAATAAAGTAGAATCAATAAATAATTAATGAGGAATAACTTACAGGACTAGATAA